TATTTTGTGTCTGCTCAGAGCAGACATTGCTGACAGCACTTGGTGAGTAAGTGTGGGTCAAGCCATTGCACGCAATTCAACCTGTGCATTGTTTATGAACTTTCTTCTCCGAAGCATCGTCCCCCCCATTAAGAGATCCTGGCTCCGCTTCTCACTGGGGAGCCTACCGTGCTCTAGCTAAGGGTCAAAAGAGGAACCCGAGGCAGACCACACCACTTCTTAAAAGCAGCGTGACAATAGGATCCTCCAGAAGACGTTCTTTAGGGGGAAGAAGAGCCTGCGAAGTACTGAAAATAGGAGAGGCATACAGACAGCCTGGTAAGCAGGGCCCGAGAAGGAAGCTGGCTCGGTAGAGGTTTCACAGTGGCAAAGCAGAGCCTCTCTGAGCACAGGCTTGGGAACGTACCTGAGGTTTTATAGGTGTGGGGTGCACAACCCATTTGGGCAGGGTGCAGCAGTAAGATGAGCAAGAACGTCGGCAAAACCTGTCGAGAAGGGCTTTTTGGAAAGCATCAGATATTTATTTCCAAAAATTTCTCGTGCCATTTGCGCTGATACCTTTTCCCTTACAGACCTTGGGAATGCAACCCTGGTGGGGGCTAGCAGTTTTATCGAGGGTTTTCTACCCAGAGTCTTTAACAGACAGAAAGTCCCACTTTAAAATCTCTGATCCACGGGGTCTCTAGCCAGTCAGCTGTCTTCAGAAGGGTACAGGAGGGGCTTCCTTCCTTTATGTGTCAAAATGTCTCTCTGGCCGTTTGCAGAAGGAAATGGCTTAGGGGAGGGGGAAAGGAGCATTTAGCTGGCGGGGTCAAGGGGAGTTGGTCCATCCCAGGCGGTTAGGCTGTAGGGCACCTCCACCAGAAACGTTAGGGGCATTAGCTGCAGGCGCGAGGGGCTGAGCTGGGAGAATCACGTGGGCTGTGAGTGATACAGGCAGAGAGGAGCTTTAAGCTGCCTAATGAATGCACACAACCATATTGCTGGATTAGGTTGTCTCCCGGTTCCCAAGGACTTTCAGCAGCTTGTATTTACAATAGCATTTGTATTGTCACAAATCTTCTAGATGTGGTTTCATAATTATTCACTACATGACAATTAGGCCTGCCTGGTGCATTTCTCCTCCAGAATGTTATAGGCTTGCAGCAGTAGGGGCTCTACATGGGTAGGCATTTCATTGGCAGGCTGGATATCTTTGCCTCATTATGTATTTTACAGAGAACACAGAAAAGGACAGCATTGGAAAGAAGGGTTGCTTAGGTTGTAGCCGGACGCACCTTCTTTAACGGGCTCATTTCAGCAAACCCTAAATTGCCATAGTGCTGGTCGTGGAAACTCAGCTTGCGCTTGTAGGTTGAGAGAGTGAGCGAGCCGGTTCAGCACAGGTTATATACATCGTTAGCAGGATCTCATGGAGTATTTGCCTTTGCATAGCAGCATAAGGGCTCCTAGCCTGTGGAAGCTGGTGGGAGATGCCCTGAGCACACATCCGT